ATTTTGTAAACCTCTATAAGGTCACCCTTCAACCTCCAAGGCTAATAAAATATTTTTATTTTTAATTAAAATGGAACAAAATGTTATGTATGATCATACCTTCACATGACATGTGAACTAGCCATGGAGAAGTTACTGCGTTTTTTTGTTTTCTCTTCCAAGTCAATGCTTTGAGGATGAAGTGATCTAGCCCTTATCCCTCTGTTTATGAAGATTCCTGTTTCACCGTGAGCTCAAACTAAACTCCAAGATGTTTTATTAAATAGTATTGATTAACAATTGCAGGAGAGAGGGGATGCACAGACAGTCACCAACAATGATAAGAGTGTGTGAGGAAGTGGTCACCAGGTATAGCAACGCAAAGAAAAGCGAAAAACACACCAAGAGTGACACCAGAAGAAAGAGGTTGATTGATTTTTGAGCAGCTACTATTAGCGACTGTGTTTCAACTTCAGTAAATCATAGCAAACATTTCTCCTCAGCTCAGTCCTCAGGCATTTTGTTTTTGCATTGTGACCTCAGTTCTGGACTCGCCAACCAATCTAACCTACGTCAACCCTGTCTATCCCTTCAAGGAATTTGAGGGTTTAAATGAGATGATCTCTCACTCTTTGAGACAGTAGAGAATAAAGGCCCAGTTTTCCCAATCTAAGGCAGTCCTGCCATCTCAGGGAGTGACCTCATGCCCCAGCCAGTGAATATAAGCACACAGATGCAGCGGGCAGAAAAGAAGGGAATCTGTTTGTTGGTCTTTATAGTGAGAGGGTTCGAGTACAGGAACAAGGATATCTTGCTGCAGTTATACAGGGCATTGGTGAGGCCACACCTAGAATATTGTGTGTTGTTTTGGTCTCCTCATCTGAGGAAGGATGCTCTTACAATAGAGGGAATGTACCAAATTGATTCCTGGGAATCCAGGACTGAAGCATGAGGAGAGATTGAGGTAGTTTTGATTGTATTTTCTGGAATGAGGGAGTACGGGGATCTCGTAGAAACGTACAAAATTCTAAGAGGACTAGACAAGTTAGATACAGAAAGGATGTTCCTGCTGGTGGGGGATGTCCAGAGCCAGTGGTCATAATTTAAGGATAAGGGATAAATCTTTTGGGACTGAGAGGAGGAGAAATTTCTTCACCCAGAGAGTGGTGAACCTACAGAATTCACTGCCACAGAAAGTGGTTGAGGCCAAAATATTGACTGCTTTCTAGGAAGGTCTTTATTAATTTGGAAAGGCCGCAGAAAAACTTTACCAGGATGTTACTGGCACTGAAAGGTTTGTGTTATAAGGAGAGGCTGGATAGGCTGGGACTTTTTTCACTGGAGCATAGGGGGTTGAGAGGTGACCTTATAGAGACATATATAATCATGAGGGGCATAGATGAGGTGAATGACAAGGGCCTTTTCCCTACGATAAAGGAGTTCAAAACTAAACGGCATAATTTTAAGGTGAGAGGAGATAAATTTAAAAGGGACCTGAGGGGCAACATTTTCACACAGAGGGTGGTTCGTATGTGGAATGAACTGACAGAGGAAGTGGTAGATGCAGGTACAGTTACAACATGTTCAAGATATTTGAACAGGTACATGAATAAGAGGGGTTTAGAGGGATATGGGCCAAATGCAGGCAAGTAGGACTGGTTTAGTTTGGGAAACTTGGTCGGCATGATTGAGTTGGATTGAAGAGTCTGTTTCTGTGCTGTATGACTGTATGACTCTATAAGGCAGCTTATTACAACTTTCTCAAGGGGCAACTAGGGATGGGCAATAAATGCTCACCCAGCCAGCGATGCCCATGTCCCACAAATGAATAAGAAGGAATTCTAGGGGCTATAAATACGTCATTGAATAAAGAAGAGGGAGGTTATGATTAACTTACATAAGATGCTGCTTAATCCTCACCTGGAGTATTATGGGTGTCACATTATATGGGAGTGAGGTGAATGAAATGGAGACAGTTCAAAAGGGGTTTACAAGAATGGATGGGATCAAACACATCAGTTATAAGGAGCAATTAGAGAAGTTGATCAAGCATCAAGGGGCACAGTTTTCAAGTTTCTTTTGCAAAAGAAGCAAATGCAAAGCAAGATAAAACTCTTTAACACAGTGAGTAATTAGGGTCTGGAATGCACTGCCTGGAGATGTGGTGAAGGCAGGTTCAACTCAGGTATTCAGGAGGGGCATTGGATGGTTTTTTAAATAGACACAATGTATAGGATTATGGGAAAAAGGCACAACGTTATAAATGCACAGTCAGCTGGTACAGACATGATGGGCTGAATGGCCTCTTTCTGCACCATTAGGATTCTGTTGTATGATGATTTAGCAGTGGGTATCTCTGCCTAGGTCTGTTCTGGCTCTGACCTCCTAGCAGATTCTCAGTCACATGATCTATCACAGCATACCTCACAGGCTTGTCTGCTGATCCATTAAACCCTCTCTCTACATTTCCTGCTTGTGGAAGTGGGAGAGGTATTGCAGGGAATACTTTCTCTGTGTTCCACTCTCATACATGGGACCTGGCAGGGTAGGGACTGAAAGGCTGGTGAATTGAGAACATGGAAAGGCTACAGTCTCAGAATGGGCAGCTTGACCATTTAGGGCCGGGATGAGGGGGCTTTCTTGTATCAGAACGCTGTGAATCCATGGACATAGAATCTATACGGTGAGGAAGCAGGCCATTCACCCCATTGAGTCCACACTTACCCTACGAAGAGCATCCCAACCAGATCCAACCCCCTACCCTTTAACGCTGCATTTCCCATGGCCAATCCACCTTGTCTCCACAGTTCAGGAGAACTTAGCACAGTCAGTCCACCTAACCTGCACATCTTGGGAGGAAACCGGATCACCCAGAGGAAAACTGCACAGACACAGGGAGGATGTACAAACCCCACACAGACAGTCAGCCAAGGCTGGAATTGAAGCTGGGTCCCTGTTGCTGTGCTGCTGCAGTGCTAACCCTCTGAGCCACTGAGTTGTGAATGCTGCATCACTGAATGGATTAGAGATTGGAAAAGACTGGTCTTTCAGACAACCAATAGACATGGGGAGTAGGTGGAAAAGGGGATTGAAATGAGTTGGGAAAGGAGGCTCTATGAACCTGCTGCTACTATTTTTTATGCCCCTGCATCTCCAATTTCCAGCACGCCATCATTGGCTGCTGTGTGCCGGCTACCCAATCCCTCAGCTCTAAAACTGTTCTGCCCCTCTCTCCTCCTATCAAATGCTCCTTAAATACTTACACCTGCAGAAACGCCTTTGGAGATCAGTGCTCGCCTTTTTCTCTGACTCGGTCTTTGTTTGAACATGGTGCTAATGAAATGCCTCAAGAAGTTGTACAGCATTAGAAGGTGCTACATAAGTGGAACTTGTTGTTGTCAGCACAGCTTAAAAACAGGTCCAATTCAGCATAAAGTTAATGAAGAGGTCAAAGGGACCCATCTTTTTTGTTTCCTCTCAGAGCTCAGTGAAAGGAAAAGGGAGCAGTGGAGTTTATGTCTGGAGAACCTGAGCGTCTGGTTGAATCATGTACGTCATGCGCTGAAGACTTTAATGTGTTAAGAGGTAGCTAACCACAAGTAGACCACTAGGCAGCAAAAGAATAGGTTATCCTAGAAGTGAAACCCAGAATGGAGCACCAAATAGTCTCAACAACAAACACACACCCCTCATTACAAGGTGTGGTTCCACCACGTGAAAGCCACAGTCCGAGCTGTATACAAATTACTCTTAAATTAACGCTGTGAGCGAGCTAAACATGTTGTGTAGATGAAGACTGCTATATTTTTGAGGGGGAGGCTGGAGTAAATATGCATCTGTTTTTGAGTCCTGGAGCTCCCCTGCCTTATCTCCATCTCATGGGGGCACGTGCCACTGAAAGCTGTCCATGCTTAGTCGAGAAACTGAAAGTTTCTCATCCATCTTGCTCAGAGATTGTGTTGGAGATGTAAGGAGGACTGGTCGAGCTGTTCCAATGGCACTGCAGAAATGTTCTGACGGAAGGTCATGACCTGAAAGGTCAGGGCAGATTCCTCTGACCTTAGCAGTGGTGAACTAGGAGGAGGTCAGGAATTTATAGAGCCCAGGATGTCATGGACTTGAACTCTTCGATCTATACCCCTCAATCAGGCTGAACCTCTGGGCAAGAAGATCCAAACTCAAACTTCTCACTCCACCTCGAATTGGGTCCCATAAAGTGGGCAGTTAAGGAGGGGGCTAGAACCCACTGTGGTTAGGGGCACCCCCCCAAGGGACCGAATTCCAGCCCTGTCCTTGGAATTTGTTGGCTGTTAGAAGATCTAGTGTGTTTCTTCAGAGCATGCAGCAAGGATCTGTCATTGATTCTCCAACCACTACGCTGCCAACAGAAGATTAGGCATTTTAACCCTGTCCTCTCTCCACAACATGCAATTAGGAGCCCATCACACATAAGGCCAGCAATGGTAGGACCAGACTCAGGCCCAGGACCTGCAATATGGTCCCAGTGCCCTGAGGCAGTGCTGCGAATGGTATTTTTTTTTCCGTTCACTGCATGAGGGTGTCGATGGCTAGGCCAGCATTTGTTGCCCATCCCTAATTGCCCAGAGGGCAGTGAGGAGTCAGGCATGTTGGCTGTGGATCTGGAGTCACATAGGGGCCAGACCAGGAAAGGCAGCTTCCTTTCTTAAAGGACATTAGTGAACCAGATGGGGTCTTTCCACAGACAATGGATTCATGGTCACTTAGATTCTTAATACTAAATTTTTACTGGAATCAAATTCCACCATCTGCCGTGGCAGGATTTGAACCCAGGTGCCCAGAACATTACCTGGGTCTCTGGATTAACAGTCCAGCAATAATACCAGTAGGCCATTATATCTCCATAGTGACTGTTGTTTCCTAGCAACTGGCTATGTAGGCTTGCTAAGAGCAATGAAAATATCTGACTGCTAATACTATACATAGCAGTATTGCTAATTGGATCCAGTGTAGGGCCTGAGGCTATATTCCTGTATACTCACTGTTGTGATGTACCGAAACCATTGGGGTTGATAGCTGCAGAAATCCCCAGCACAACAGCGGGCAGCACATAACCAACTGTGTACAGATGTACGTTCCTGATCACTGTTTTTTGAGAGACGTTCACCCTCCGGAGGTCTCTCACGATGAGAAAAATGTGCAGTCCTTCCAAAAACATCCAGGCGAATGCTGCTAGGAAGAGGTAATGCAAGCTCCCTGCTATTATAGCACATACCACCTGAAAGAAAGGAAGACAAATCCAAGAGTCAATTGATTCAGGTGTATAGAATCCCTACAGTGTGGAAACAGGCCATTCAGGCCCACACCTATCCTCCAAAGGACAACCTACGCTACCTCCTATATTTCCCATGGCTAACCCACCTAGCATGCATACTTTGGGCAATTTAGCACAGCCAATCCACCTAACCTGCACATCTTTGGACTGTGGGAGGAACCAAGATCACCCAGAGGAAACTCACGCAGACAGGGGGAGAATGTGCAAACTCCACACAGACAGGTGCCCGAGAGTGGAATCAAACCTGGGTCCCTGATGCTGTGAGAAAGCAGTGCTAACCACTGAGCCACCGTGCCAGTTGTCTTGAATGAGTCCATCTTTCTCGTGTTTAACTGACTGGTAACAGCTGAGAAAGGACTGTAGACTTAGTGGTGAAATTTTAACTGTAGGCAAATGTATAAATAAGAGTTGATGTTGCAACTGGTACATTTTATCCATCAGGACAGAGTATGCAACAGTCCTGATATATCTCTCTCTTTCCCAAATCTGGTATTCCTCCTCCCTCACCCCTCCAACTGTAATTTACAGAATCCTCAACCACTCTACTTCTAACACTTTAGTTTTCGTCCCTTCCTTGTCCCTCCCAGAACCACAGTAGGTGTGCCCCAGTCCTTGCCTTCCACCTCCGTATTCAAGTGCCACCCTCTGTTCGTTCTGACATCTCAGTATTGTCCCATCGTACTTTACACCCAATCAAGTGTGTCACTGTTGAAGTTGAGGGAAAACAGCATCCAATGTGTTCACAGCCAGCTCCGAAATAATGATAAGCTGAATGACTGGAGAGCTGGATCTTGGTGATCTTGGCTGAGATAAATAATAGCTCGGAGGCCACCATCCTCCCGGTTTTATTTGGATTAGGACCACTTAGGTGTCGAGCAGGAGAGGGAAAATGCAATCATATTTAAGGGCCTCATGAGAATAACAGCCCCTCTGCTCATGGCATCACCAAATCGCCTCAGCACAGAAGGAGGCTATTCGACCCCTGGTACCTGTGCCTTCTCTCCGCACTGAGCAATTTAGTTAGTGCCACTCTCCCAACCTTCTCCCTGTCACCCTGCACACTATTCCTTTCCAGATCACAGTCTAATTCCCCTTTCCCATTCACCCTTCCCCCACCATACTGTCTGGCAGCGCACTGGGTAGTCAGCATGTGGGAAAGGTTCCACGTCATTTTGCCTCCTTTACCAATTATTGTAAATCTGAAAATGTCAGAAACACACAGACACAGTTCTGAGACCCTAACCTTTTCTTACTTTAACACAAAACATAAAGTGTCTGTCCCAGATGCAATGCAGCTAGTCAAGCTACTCAACAAAATACAATTTATTTAACCTCTATAATTAAAATACAGCCAAAGAAAGAGGAATTTGGAATAACTTAACTCTATTGGAAAATTTAACAAAATAACAGATACAGTAACTATTACTAATTAACTTCCAATATAGTAACATCCCACAAAAACACAGCCCTTGGCAAAAAGACAAATTTAGACACAGGTTCTCACATGCAGTTCTCCAATCCAGGAGGAAGAAACATCAAGAGAAAATTCAGAGAGAGTAGCAGCCAGGACACATTCACTGAAGCTTCCAATTCTGCCGAGACCCCAATAGCTTCTGATGCCACTGAAAAACCAAAACCCAGAAATCCTGAGATAACACAGTGTGGAGCTGGAGGAACACAGCAGGTCAGGCAGCTTGAGGAGCAGGAAAGCTGATGTTTCGGGTCAGGACCCTTCTTCAGAATTCTTCTTTTCATTTCTGAAGTAGGGTCCAGACCTGAAACATCATCTTTCCTGCTCCTCTGATGCTGCCCGGCCTGCTGTGTTCCTCCAGTTCCACACTGTGTTATCTCTGACTCCAGCATTGGCAGTTCTTACTATCCCAGAAATCCTGATCTGTGAGAGCTGGCCACAGCCAATCAGGCTGTTCAACAAAAACCCAAGGCCTCCCAAGCTGTTTACTCAAGTGGTCTCAACTAGCCAGCTCGTCACTTCTAGTTCAACCTCTCTCTTTAAAGAAACCAGGACAAAATAACATCTTAAAGTTACAGCATCATCACAGAGATCTTATGACAACTATTTTGGAACTCCCCCAGTGACTTATCCAAAACTAATCCCTCAATCAACATCACAAAGAATACAGATGATCTGGCTGTTAAACACACTGCTGACTGTTAAGAGGTTGTTGTGTGTATATTGGGTGTGGCGTTACCTAAATAAAAGGATGTTCCCTCATTAGAGAGAGATGAGGGACACACCACCTGAAAGAAAGGAAGACAATTCCAAGAATCAATTGATTTCTGTGTATAGAATCCCTACAGTGTGGGTTGTTCAACCTGTAGGTCACCAGCAGCCTTTGACAAGGGGAGAGATGGAGCAGGAGGACCCTTCACTGTTAACCTCAGGCTTGGCATCTTCAACCAGCCAGTTAACTGAGCTAACCCAACATCACATACTGAGCTTCAATGATTGTAAAGTATGTTGGATGTCCAGTGAATGTGGAAAGTGCTGTATAAATGCAAGTTTGTTGTTAGGTTATGCCATTAATGATAAGACAGTCCCTTGAGATTGCAAATGTAAGTCTTTGTAAAAGTACACCTCAGCAAACAAAAGGATATTTTGACTTCAAATCCTTGCAGTTACGAGAAGTTCAGAGGAAGGTTACTGAATGTAAACTGCTGTGTACGTTTTCCACCACACTTCGAGTATGTCAGCTAGTATTTGCTGTGCTATTGACAGCTGAGTCTATTCTCAATATAGCTGAGGAACTGTTTTTGTTGGTTTCTGGCCACCGTGTTTATTTCGGTTAGGTTCTGTTATGATTTAGTTGCGGTTTGCTTGCATCTTGTCTCCACTTGCAGTGCAAGGACCTGACATGTGCTTGTGCTTGCAATTTTTCAGGCCTCTGTCTCCCACCCATCGCTGATTCCTGACATAAATCCCAACGTTCACGTGCGTAGTCAGAGTGGAGTTGGGAGTGAGTTTTAAGTTTCATCCTTTTCATCCATCTGGCTCACTAACATCATTTAGGGAAGGAAACTGCCATCCTTACCTGGTCTGGCCTACATGTGACTCCAGACCCATAACAATGTGGTTGACTCTTAACTGCCCTCTGGGCAATTAGGGACGGGCAATAAATGCTGGCCTGGCCAGTGGCGCCCTCATCCCGTGAATGAATAAAGAAAAAAAAAATCCAACAGTTACCCCTGGGTTACTTTAAGATCATGAGGGATAGGAGCTGAAGTAGGCCATTCAGCCCATTGAGTCTGCTATGCGATTTGAGGCTGATAACCTGAAATCCGCTTTCCTTACTGTTAATAACTACAAATTAATCGCTTATTAATCTTACTGATTAATATCTCTGCATTAAATATATTTGATGCCCCAGCCCTCTGAAGTCAAGAATTCCACAGATTCACTACACTCTGAGAGAAGAAATTCCTTAAAATGGGCTTCTTTTAAATACGCTGGGTATGATTCCACACCCCCCTCTGCCCCACTCCATCTCAAACCGAAGTTAACGGTGAGAGAGTGTTCGGTAGGAGTGAGGTTACTCTGACTGAGCCCACGGCAAAGGTTAAAATCGGAGGATCACATGAGGTTTAGATGTGAGGTCTGGCAGAACCAAGTCCTTTACTCTTCTGCCCGTGATATTTGCTTTCCTTTATACCAGACATCAAACTTAAGAATCTCACAACGCCATTAAGTCAGGCTTCAATTAACATTATCAGGCCCAGCTTCTGGAACTGGTTAAGTTCTTCACCAGTCCATATTTTAACCTCTCCATGCCCAGTTTTCACCTGGGGCTTAAGCTTTTGGGGTCATTTGGTAGCTGCGCTGTTCGGTTTCACTACGTTGTTTTTTATTGTCTTGGACTACTTTGCAACATCTGGTGGCCATTGTCATTTCAGGAAAGAAAGTCAATTACTCTCACGACAAGTGACCCTGCATCGTCTGGAGGCAAATAGATGAAGGACAGTAAACTATCCAATTCTACAGCCACATTTGGTTCCTACAGGCAGACAGATACAGTATTCAAACGGAATTCGATGAAAAAAGAGACCATTCCACTAATTCTGGTGAATAAAAGCATTATCCAGCCTAATCCCAGTTTCTAGTTCTTGGTCTGTAATGCTCTAGCACCTCAAGTGCATATCCAATTAATTTCTAAACATGTGGGAGACTTCTATCTCTACCACCTTTCTGGGCAGTGACTTTCAGATTCCCACGTTAGAATCATAGAATCCCTACAGTGTGGAAACAGGCCCTTCGGCCCAACAAGTCCACACCAAACCTCAGAGCATCCCTCTGTAGCCCACCCAATCTACACATCCCTGAATATTGTGGGCAATTTAGCACGGCCAATCCACCTAACCTGCACATCTTTGGACTGTGGGAGGAACCAAGAGCACCTGAAGGAAACCCACGCAGACACAGGGAGAATGTGCAAACTCCACACAGACAGGTGCCCGAGAGTGGAATCAAACCTGGGTCCCTGATGCTGTGAGGAAGCAGTGCTAACCACTGAGCCACCGTGCCACCCTAACCTTGTCTGGGTAAAACTTTTTTTAAAACAATCCCCTTTAATCTTTCCCCCAGTTTGGCTGGAGAGCTGGTTTAGAATGCCCTGTGATGCCAATATGACGGGTACAATTCCCACACTAGCTGGGGTTACCATGAAGGGCTCTCCTCCTCAACCTCTCCCCCTCACCTAAGGCACGGTGACCCTCAGATTAAAACACCACCAGCTGTCTCTCTCTAATTGTCTCTCCCACACTGATGTGGTTGACTCTCAATTGCCATCTGGGCAATTAGGGATGGGCAATGCATGTTGGCCTCGCCAGTGATAACCACATCCTGTGATTATTATTTAGCAGGATGCCTCATCACCAGAACTTTCCAACAAGCACCAAGACATCGCTTGGCATTTGGTGAGAAGGGGTCT